GAAAGGAAGGCTGCACACGTGACAACAAGCACAATTTGGGGAGAACTTGGGGTTTTAAAAGGTTAACATGTCTTGACTCAAAATCAGAAGTTGCCCATTTGCAGCTATGTGTTTGCTTGGAAAGAAGAGGAGGGAGAAAAAAAACAAGTAAAGTGGGACCATTTCCACTGCCTTGTCATCAAGGACACTTTCTGGCTTGGGAGCACGTGGCAAGATCACAGCAGCACATGCTGTGAGCAGCCCTGCATTTGCAAATACCCAGGTGTGGCACTGCCTGCTAGAGCTCCCAACAGGGACCACAGCAGCAGCATAGCCCCTTCCTCCTGCCCACAGCCCCTGCCCAGCCAGCAGGCACATGCACAGCCCCCAGCCCCACCACGCTGCCCCTTCCTCCTTGCACAAAGCTGCTTCATGTTGTTCCCCTTGCTGGAGCTGATGTCAGCTCCACTGCAACGGTCCAAGAGGACACATTTCCCATTACATAATTGTCCGTACAGATCTCACCAAATGCCAACACAATCCTCTGTGAGGGAGTTTCTTTAGGAAAAAAAAAAATAATTAAAAAACAGCAAACATAACAAACAGGGATTTAGTCACAGAAAGTACCTGGAGACAACAACCCCAGGAAGAGATGCCAGGACGTTTCTGGTTAACAGCAGTATCTCTGCTGACCTGGATTGGGAAAAGAGTGTGTTCCATAACACAATCTATGCACAGACTAAAGGTTGCATTTCCTGGCTTTTGCCCATGGGTTGCATTTCAATTTACCACCACTGCCAAACACAGGGAGGGTTTTTGCTGCTCCATCCCTTGCCCGCAGGGGAGAGCTCTGCGGGCAGCAGGCTGCGGCACTCACAGCGATGACTGCTCCTGAGGAAACGCTTCCTCTCGGCCTCCAACAGCCGTGCTCTCTTTTTCCCCCAAACTGTGCTCCACCAAACCCTCCCACAGCTATCCTGAGGGGCCGAGCCCTGCGGTGCAGAGCCCTCCGGCTGCGCGGGTGCATTCCCACCCGACAGCAGGGAGAGCTGCGCATCCAAACCCGCATCCGGGAGAACCCGCAGGCAGCGCCCTCCTATCCCGACAGAGAGAGCTGGGCATCTCGGTGGCGGTGCAAAGCCAAACCTGCTCCCGCCGGCACCTGGAGGCCGCGTACCTGCCGCTCAGGGACGTCCCGGCACG